CTGTAGGAGACATATTAGTCAGTATAACCTCCCGTGCCTGTAGCAGACATATTGGTCAGTATAACCTCCCGTGCCTGTAGCAGACATATTGGTCAGTATAACCTCCCGTGCCTGTAGCAGACATATTAGTCAGTATAACCTCCCGTGCCTGTAGCAGACATATTGGTCAGTATAACCCTGCTGTGCCTGTAGCAGACATATTGGTCAGTATAACCTCCCGTGCCTGTAGCAGACATATTAGTCAGTATAACCTCCCGTGCCTGTAGCAGACATATTGGTCAGTATAACCTCCCGTGCCTGTAGCAGACATATTGGTCAGTATAACCTCCCGTGCCTGTAGCAGACATATTGGTCAGTATAACCTCCCGTGCCTGTAGCAGACATATTGGTCAGTATAACCTCCCGTGCCTGTAGCAGACATATTGGTCAGTATAACCTCCCGTGCCTGTAGCAGACATATTGGTCAGTATAACCCTGCCGTGCCTGTAGCAGACATATTGGTCAGTATAACCTCCCGTGCCTGTAGCAGATTTCCCACAAATATGTGGGAAATTTTACCCACTATATCTATATTATTATCTAAGAAATGTATTATATCAAAATCATATCTAAATCATAACAATCATATTAGAATCATATCAGAATCACTACAGATTCATTATACATCTGGATCCTAGATGGCAATGCCACTATGATCCCGTACAGCCATAGGGGCCCAAGGTGCCTACGTGACTTGGTGCATGATTTCTCAAAGAATCTTCGAGAAGAATATCTTAATTAAAAAACAATGGGAACATTCAATCCATTTCCGGTATGGATTAAATCAAATCCTTAATAAGAATCAATAGTACTAGCAAGTACTACTTATAATCTTTAAATCTTATATCCAATTATATTATAATCACATCTTATCTCAATCATGTGTCTAGACAGTAAAAATAATCAATATTCATTTGAAAGCTACCTTCCCCAAGGAGGGAGGAGCCAACTCGGGGAGTGAAGCGACCTACGGGGACACCCTCGAGGGCAGAACGCATGAGTTTATATACAGTGACAACGTGAGGTGTCTTGCGAACTTTATTTTATAAAGGACACCATAATATATTTTTATCATCAGTGATTACTCTCTAGAACTGGGGAAGTAGCTGGTCAATATCTACAAGGAAAATTCCTAGTACATTATCTAAATAAAAGTGTAGAGAGGAGCCCACCCACCTGTGACACCACCTCCACCATCATCACCTATCTTAGCCTACTGTAAACGCAATTAAGGGCATAATCAATTAGTAATGCTACCAGAATAATAAACAGCAAAGCTGTGAAATAAAATAAAGTGCCTTAAAACTCTACAAGAGAGTTATCAGACGGGATCTGGCACTCAGACACAAGTAAATTGAGTTATTTATGTGTGTTAATTGGCCAATTGCATGCTTGTATAACCTTAAAATATCCAATAAGTCTGTTTGTGGTTACAGGGTGAGGCAATGCCTCATATTTCAGTAAGTTTTATTAATATTTTAGCGACTGAATCTTTTAAAGTAACTTGTGAGATACATACCCTCATGAGTGTCCTTTGTCTAAGAAATGTTCAGTCAAGCTTAACTGAATCTCTTCATATAAACTGAATATATTTGTATATAATTGATAATATACATTAAGTTAACAATTGCTTACTAGTTATCTTTAATTTATAATATAAGTTTATCATATTGAATATAATCTCTTGTACTTAATTAATAGTACTTAGACCACATTTAAGGTCACTTGATCGCATATTCATATATATATCATACTTCTACAATATAAATTGTTGTGTTAATTAATATATGAATATTGGCTGTTATAGATATGGTGCTGGGCTGGAATGTGTACATGTTTAGATCCCTGATTTAAACAGAACCAGTGTTCAGTTATAGAACTGAATTATTAAATCTTATCCTTGTATTAACAATACAAGCTGATGTGTGGAACTTGTCTGCAGATGGATTGTGGATCTTCAATCAACTTCTCCTTTCATCCTTAGGGGACCTCACCTGCCCCTTACAGCCCCATAGTCTGTCGTTATGAAAAGAGGAGCTAGGATTTACGACCCTAGCTAGAGATTTTATTTTAATTAATTTGCATACAGTAATTTTTCATTTAGTACAGTACAAGACCCTAGTAGTTCTCCTCATTATATTAATCCCGACAGTTTTTTCCCACAATATTGGTCAGTATAACCCTCCCGTGCCTGTAGCAGACATATTGGTCAGTATAACCCTCTCATGCCTGTAGCAGACATATTGGTCAGTATAACCCTCCCGTGCCTGTAGCAGACATATTGGTCAGTGTAACCCTCCCATGCCTGTAGCAGACATATTGGTCAGTATAACCCTCTCATGCCTGTAGCAGACATATTGGTCAGTATAACCCTCCCGTGCCTGTAGCAGACATATTGGTCAGTGTAACCCTCCCATGCCTGTAGCAGACATATTGTTCAGTATAACCCTCCCGTGCCTGTAGCAGACATATTGGTCAGTATAACCCTCTCATGCCTGTAGCAGACATATTGGTCAGTATAACCCTCTCATGCCTGTAGCAGACATATTGGTCAGTATAACCCTCCCGTGCCTGTAGCAGACATATTGGTCAGTATAGCCCTCCCGTGCCTGTAGCAGACATATTGGTCAGTATAACCCTCCCGTGCCTGTAGCAGACATATTGGTCAGTATAACCCTCTCATGCCTGTAGCAGACATATTGGTCAGTATAACCCTCTCATGCCTGTAGCAGACATATTGGTCAGTATAACCCTCCCGTGCCTGTAGCAGACATATTGGTCAGTATAGCCCTCCCGTGCCTGTAGCAGACATATTGGTCAGTATAACCCTCCCATGCCTGTAGCAGACATATTGTTCAGTATAACCCTCCCATGCCTGTAGGAGACATATTGATCAGTATAACCCTCCCATGCCTGTAGGATACATATTGATCAGTATAACCCCTCCCATGCCTGTATGAGACATATTGATCAGTATAACCCTCCCATGCCTGTAGGAGACATATTGATCAGTATAACCCTGCCGTGCCTGTAGCAGACATATTGGTCAGTATAATGCTGCTCCTCCTTATACCCAGACAAGTTTCCCCGTGTATTTGGTTAACTTATACTTGAAACTGCCTTAAAGTTTGCTGCTATGCACTATCATAACACAATGTTGCAAACATCTGTAACCTTAAACTGGGCCAAATGCAGAAATTATTTGGATAGAAATAAATGAAAATAATAATAATACTCTCATAAAAGGAGTTATACACAGAGCACCAAACGTAGAGAGAATGGAAGCAAAGCCTGTATGAGGCGGCGTATCTAGAGCATCTAGGTCAAACTGTGTTTGTGTTAGCGGTGACTTGAATTTTTATCAAATGAATTTAACTACGAAAATAAGGTATTGTTTACATAAGCAAAAGATGTTTTTTAGAATTAGTTATTGATTTATTCCTTAAAACAACATAATAAAGAGCCAGTGCTGGCCAAAAATATTTTGGACATACTGTAGTGTTAATTAACACAGGCACATACAACATGAAATGGTATGATATCGAAATGGGGAGTCAGCTACCGAAATCTGAATTAGCATTGAATGGAATCTTTTTTTATGGTACCAGATTTCTCAAAAACCTGATTTTGACGGATTAAATAGTTTTTTGGGAAGGATTGACTTAGACTGACGTAAACACGGGCGGCGGGGTGTTGTTGGCCCGTGTAGTGGCTCTGACGGTGAGTGACATGGCCTAGTTTACCATATAAATTGATCATCATCAAATAATAATGACCCCGAATGAATAGCTATGTGTCTAAAGAATATCTAGATCAAAAGTTTATCAAACTGATTAGAAATGTTAAAAAGAAATACGGAAAGTAAAAGGAAACAATGAAGTTCGTATAGCATGGCAAGCAATGACAAATCCTAGAAGGCTTTTCAGTTATATCAAACAAAGATTAGGGATACGACATATAAAAAGTCAGTGAAAAGTCAGCCACGTCAGATAATTGATAATGGCAAAGAGATGAGCAGTATTTTAAATTATATATTTTGTTTCTGTATTTACTAAAAAAAGAAATTAACACTAGGCTTTCACCTGCCAAAATCTACATTGGTTGTGAAGAGGACAAGTTGATTAGTTTAGTGGTTACCAGGGAAGAAGTTATTTGGTTTGAATTTTCCTGTTTGCTTAATTTAATAACTTAGGCTGCGCTATACTTACATAGACGATGGGAGTAACTGTCACAGAATTACACACATCATACATAGGCAATTGAGGGTCCCTTGCACGATTTAAATGTCCAGTGGCTACACAGGGTTCACATCTGCTTCTTCAGGGCTCTTGTAAACAAACTCCATTTCCAAGATCCTTCAGTCCCACCTCCTTCACTTCTACAATGCCTGCTGGTCCTCTGGTGTCTTCCCTGACCCGTGGAAACACGATATTCTTCTACCAATGGCCAAGTCAGGGAAGGATCCGTCTGTCCCGAGTTCATATCGGCCCATAAGTCTGCTTCCATGTCTCGGAAAACTGATGGAACGTCTTGTTCACACCCGGCTACACTGGGTGGTGGAAACCTCAGGTCTCCTACCTGAGGGGTATCAGTGGATCTCGGCCGGGAAGAAGCACAACGGACTGCCTCCTCTCCTTGGAACATCGAATAATGGACACTTATCGCCGGCGAAGAGTGTTCCTTGCAGCATTCTTCGACATCAAGAGTGCATTTGACTGCGTCCCATTCTGGTGTCTTTCGGAGTCTGACTCGACTAGATCTCTCAGGTCCGGCATTGAGGTGGGTCCAAAACATCTACAAGGCCGCTCATTCAAAGTAGCGGTTGGTGGAGTCATCTCAGCGTCCTGCCCTGTCTCGCATGGTGTCCCCCAGGGAGCGATTCTCAGTCCGCCATTATTCTCTATTCTTCTGTCTGATCTCCTGGTATTCCTGGGGTCCAGGTTTTAGCCTATACCGATGAT